TACGTAATAAACTTTAATAAACTACACTATTTAAGTATTTATTATAATGATAAACGCAATTGACCCGCTGAAAAGATGATTAAGGCGCCCTATATCCTCAAGTAATTAGTTATTTATACGGGTCATCCGAATTCGGGTACCGGATTACCGATTATATTCAGGTGACCTGTTTTAGTTTCGGGTACCCGGTTGGTAAAGACGGTTGACCCGACGGGTCACGGGTTGAGATTTTCCAACCGGTTTGGAGCCCTACTTGTAGGTGATGATTTTGAATCATGTTCTGATTTATCACCATTAATTTGTGGAGAAGAAGGTTGATTAGAATTGCGCTCTGATGAATCGTCTGATCTTGATTGTCGTCCATTTTCTTGGTTTACATTATTACTGTGAGGTTGTTCACCATCAGAATGATACCCTCCGTGATGTGCGGATGCACTGTTGGCAGGAGTATGATAAAAATGTAACCCTTCTACATATTCCTGTGAATGATATGCTGGAGAAGTGAGAGGATGATCAGGAAGTTCTGTTGACTGTGGAATCTCAATCTTCATAAATGGTTTGCCACCAACAGCAGCGACATTCGAATTTGCATTTGATATTGGGCGTGATTCGAAATTAGAAAATGCTGAGTGTGGAGCAGAAGTTGTGGCAACTATATGTATCATAAGAAGAATTATATATATCATTGTCAGTACAAGAACTCTTATAATTTTAAACCCTATAACATGAGTATGGAAATATTATTATAATTGATATATGAATAATATACTAGGAAATAGGCACTGTTAAATGTCCGGACAATTATTCGTATATTATTCATATATTATTGATAATATTATATATTTATTTTTTTATTACCTCCTTCCATGTGCATATCAATCTGTTGACCTTGATGTACCTTTTGATCATGTGAACCATTAACAATATTAGGATCCAAGTTAGGATTATTATACACTTCTGGATTTTGATTTTCTGCATCCCCGATGCTTGATACCATATATTGTTGATGAGGATGCTGTGGATGGAAAGGTGGTGTTTGTCCATTTGGTCCTGCCATCATTAATAGAGCATCATTTCTCATTGGTCCACCGGTTACTGGTGGAAACCCTTGAAAGGGTGGGTACTGTCCGTATGGTCCCGGGAATGGTCCACCATTAAAATCATGTGGCATCACTGATCCATTCGGACCAGCTGGATTTGGATAACCAACGTGACGATCATTAGGAAATGCTGGATTCATACCCATTGGATTATAACGATCATGATTATCAGCATAGTGACCAGGACTACGACCACGTACGACTAGAGGTGCCGATGTTGACGTAGCAACCCGATATTGTTCACCATTTTCCACTTGAGCGTATAGATCGACCATTACCACGTAATATTGTTGAGCGGCACGACGTTTACCATTATTTGCGGTTGCAGTTTTAAATTGAATACGTTCAAAAGTCACTATGTTTGAATTAGAACCAACTGAACTTAAATTTAAGTTTCCACCAGGGCGAATAGTTTTTGGAACTGGAACCATTTGAGGTCCTTTATCACGTTTTGGAGTGTGTTGAACTAACTCGATCTTTTTATCACTATTGGATACTCGTGCCGTGATTCCTAATAAGAATTGAGAGACAGTATGGAATTGACCATCTACTTCAAGCAAGCATGGTACATCAGCTTCGTTAACAGGGTGAGTCGCACTCGAGATAGAAAATGCACTGCTAATCTGAAAATAATTTCTTCGGTAACAAGTCCAATCATTATCAGCTAAAAAGAAACCACGATCAACTTTTGAATTGATACGAAGTTTAAATCTATTTATTAAAAATTATAGATCGAAAAAATTTTTTTAATCATAACAATCTATGAAGAAAGAAATAAGATCATGAATCAATAAACTAACCCATAAGCTCTGTCCATACTACATAAGTTATAATGTTGTTGAGTTGGTGAAAAGAAAGGGCCAGCATCTACTGGGAAACCAGATGCGTCAGCCCTACGTTTCCTCACACTCGGTTGGAATGGAGCCGCATGAAATGATGTGAAGGCTGGACGATTATCAATTTTACGATCAGGAGCAGAATTTTGTGTGTTTGTGGTTGAATTGACGTTCGGGGAATCAATCTGTCGAGGAGTCGTGGGAGTAGCAGGGGTAGACATTGAAACAAAACTGTGAATTTAAGTATTAAATCGTTAGAAAAAAATTTATTTATTTATTTTATAATTAAGATATATAAAAACGGTTAGTATAGAAAATAAAAATATAAATAAAGTAAAATAAAATAAAAAATAAAGTAAAATAAAATAAAATAAAAAATTGAAAAGAAAAGGGATAGATAAAGAGAGAGCACGATGATCACAGCTGCCACCACTTAAGCGTAAATTATTTTGACTTTTGGTATATTAAGGAAAACGCATTGATTATACCTCCGAAACCTTTACTACCTTTGATATTGAGGTTGCCTATCATGTGGGTTGACAATCTCTTGCTTTTGTGGGATAAACATGTTAAGATAAGTGTTATGAATGGGCCTTGAAAAGAAGGGATACATTATGGAAGGGATATATATGTGTTTAAAAGCACATATACCGGTGTTAACTGGTTAGGTCAGAAAGGGAGGAAAGCAGTGGAGGCAGGAGAGCGGCAGGACGCAGTGTCAAAGACTTCAGGGTATACAGCATGTGTAAGGTAACACGCGGCGGGAAGAAACATCAACTTGCATAACCCAAACAAGTTTGTACCAAGTACAAAATAAAACGCGGGTGGTGTGCTATGCTCGTTGTGGAAACTGTAAAACGTGCGCGGTACGAAACCGACGTGTAAAAAAAAAAATAAATAAAAATATATAAAAGCCTGTCAACACTTACATTGGCTGAGAGTGCATTTGACCTTGCGTTGTTTGACTGTCATATGGGAAAGGTTGCATAAAATTTTCCGTAGGCATACCATTCATCTGTGGTGACATTGTAGAATGTTGATGTTGAGGAGATTGGGTAACTTGAGAAGGTTGTTGAATTGACCACTTTTCCTCGGAAATATTCATAATATTGTTGTGCCAAAATATGAGTAGTGCCTCTCACGGACGTTAGAAGATAATTTCAAAAAAAAAAAAATTATAATAAGATCAACGGTAACTAGATTCCTCAGAGCTACAAAGTACACGCGGGTACGGTGAGAAAAAAAAATAAAAATTTAATAAATCGAGAAACCATGAACGTATATATATATATATGAAGATTCGTGTGAATATGTTGATTGTCGGATATCTAATATCCAAGACATAAGATTCAAATAGAATAAGTAGTAAAAGAAAATCTGAAAAGGATAAAGAAAGAAGAAAGAAAGAAAGAGAAGAGCATACACTCTATAAATGATTTCTTCAAAAAAATTTTTTCGTAATATAATAATTTATTATATTTTTTATAAAATATTCTCGCTTTTAATTACACGAACACTAACAAGCTATTAGGAAATAGGATAGTTGTACTGGATCACTTGGAGAGCAGGGAAAAAGTGGTCCAATGTTACTCACCTTTTGTAGGCGTACAAGTTGACCTTTTTTGCTCAAAACTCTAGAGAGATGTTTTGAAGAAAAAAACCGAGCGCAATCTCTATATATTGTCATTGTAAAGGGCAATAAGAGCAACCAATGATATGCAAACCAGAATTTGGGGGGTTATTTTCATTTTGATATAATTGAAAAGTTTGGCAGTTAGAGATTTTGATTGGTCACGCAACAAAAAAACCCCAATTCTCAAATCAAGTTTTGAACAGGAATTCGCAGCATCGACACACAAAAAAATATATATTTGATATAATAAACTGATGGCATTTATTACTATGAATAGTAGAGATTCAAAAAGCGTGACCAGACATATAACGCATCATTTTCACTACTTTCGATTAAACTAAAAACAGTAAAAGATTAAAGCCAGTACAACATAAAACCGATTAACAGGTATTATTAATGCGATTTTTTTTTTTTTTATAATATAACAGATAGTAAATTATAAAATATTTTATAAAAAATAAATAATATATAAAAATAAATAAATAAAATACGTAAAGTATTACAGTGTTCAAAGTTTAAATCCGTTCGTGTAAATTCATACATAATTCCTCGTAAAATATAAACATCTCACAAGCCTTTTTTATACATCGTACCACGTTTATCTATAACGCAAATAACGCAAATAATTTTATGCTTCATACATAGATACAATACCAAAGTTATCTTAATTGAACAAGATAAATGACAATACTTATGATCAAAAAAGCCAAATATCCTTGTGCGCCCTCAGCTCGCTCCTATGTTCTAAATACGGTAAGGCGTTTGTCGGTCCGATGCGGGTCGTGAGTACATTTTTTTCATCATTATCTGGGTGTGGTAATCTGGCTGTACAAAGAATTTCGTTAGGCAAAATCAAGTTACCTTTCTGGAATTTGTCCGATTTAAGAAATCTGCAAGCTTTTTAATCTGGCACAGCCCGCTACAAATCAAGTTTCATCATGTGCAATTGTGTAGTGCAAATGTGTAGTAGGTTAAATATCTATTCATTTTATTTTTTACATTTGAACAAATCACTAACTCGAGCTTTTTAATTAAATATCATATACTTATATTAAAAATATAGATAAGCCACCTAAAGACTAACTGTAGATATTCCTGTTTAAATCTTGTCTTTGAGGAAACCCAGATGCTGGCGGCACTGATTAACTTGATTAGATTTTCTCCATGCATGTATCAATCAATATATAAAATTATAATCAAAAAAGACGAATTCATTATTATTTCGTCCATTATGATTTGGTTACAATCGATCTTGTGTCGGGATACTTTTAATTCTTTTTGGTCTGACAAAAATTTTGACGTCTCTGGAAAATTCCTTTGTGATGCTTGATTGCATGGTTACGAAATTAAAAGGGCGTGGTGATTCTGTTTCCCTTATTGATAGTCCCCACAATAATTTTTCTCACACAAAAGGTGATCATTTTTTTTCGCGGCAACGTTTCTTTGTACTCTCCCTCGTTTTTTTTTTCTTTTCTGCTTCATATCCACGAGTGCATCAAATTTTCAACACAACGTATTGCCTTTTTGGCTCGGTTTCTCTCGGTAGAATGTCTATGGATGCACAAATTTATGTACGTAGTACGCCCACACGGCGCTGCATAAAGATAGTCATGAACAGGATTTTTCCATATTTGTACCATTTATCTACCTCATGGCTAACCAACGATTCCTATTCTGTCTGATATATGATATGCTGCCGTTAAGAAACTATCCGTTACAAAAAGACCACGTTAAATGTTTACATATTTATCTTTGAGAGGAATAAAAACAATAGAGAAGCACTGCTTTGTATCAAAGATGCTTTTTGTATAAAACTTTTGACCTTCATTATATGCAATAATTAATAAAAAAACATTTTCAAATTTTAAACCGTTTTAAAAATGTTCGTTATAATTACAAAATTGGATATAATTAAAAGAAACTACGTTTTACTGGGTAAATTTCACTTCCTCCATTTAAAAAATTATATATGGTTAGGGTTAGGTTTGAGAGCTATAGCTTATCGTTATGCCCAAATTTTGTAAAGAATTTTTTTTCTTAGGCGTCAAAAGTAATTTCATTTCGATTTTTTTAAAGATCTAAAAAGAAACTGTTACACACAAGATTTTGCAATTTAATTGGCCAATTTCGAGGGGTGAACTTCATCTCTGTTAATTTAGCAATATACAATTGTAATACAATGCAGTAATAATACAGTATTTACTATAATAAGTTATATACCGATTATTTTGTTTTTTTTATCGAGATTTTATATGTATTTAGAGATAAATAAAGTATTATATTCTGTAACTAAATATGAGAAGTATTAGTAAAAAACCAAGTATTTTGTTTTTAAGTGATTTATGCTTAAGTATTTATTTATTATAATCCATTGGTTAATAAGCTAATAATATATTAAATATGTAAAAGATAATAAGTGATTTATAAATAAGTATTTATTTATTATAATCAATTAGTTAATAAGTTAATAATATATTAAATATGCGAAAGGTAATAGGAAATCAAGAATAATTTATGCTTAAGTATTTATTTATTATAATCTATTAGTTAATAAGTTAATAATATATTAAATATGTGAAAAGTAATAGGAAATTAAGAGTAATTTATAAGTAAATATTTATTATAATTTATCAGTTAATAAGTTAATAATATATTAAATATTTGAAAAGTAATAAGTGATTTATAAGTATTTATTTATTATAATCTATCAGTTAATAAATTAATAATATATTAAATATGTGAAAGATAATAAGTAATTAATGAGTAAGTATTTATTTATTATAATCTATTGATTAATAGATTAATAATATATTAAATATGCAGAAATCATTCAACTCTCCCCATCGATCATTTGGTCCATTTTCGGAGCTAAAAGAAAAAGCCAATAAACTCCAAAAGTATACTAAGAAACTGCAGTAAA